CTTCCTTCCTTCCTTCCTTCTTTTCTTTTCCTTTTTTTTAAAGATTTATTTTATGCATGAGTGCTCTATCTGCATGTACACCTTTATGCCAGAAGAGGCATCAGATTCCACTAGAGATGAGCTACCATGTGGTTGCTGGGAATTGAACTCAGGACCTCTGGAAGATCAGTCAGTGCTCTCAACTGCTGAGCCATCTCTCCAGCCCTAAATGTGATTCTTAAGAGACACACCTAATTTACTGGCAAGATGACTTGTGGGTAAGAGCACTTACTGCTCTTCTAGAGTACTCAAGTTAGGTTCCCAGTACCCACACCAGGCAGCTCACATGTGCCTATAGCTCCAGCTCCAGGAGATCCAATACCCCTTGCCTCTTCAGGCAACTGCATTCTTGTGCACATTCACACTTCCCATTAAAAATAAAAATCAAAATAAAAACAAAAAAATGTGAAAAATTAGAAAAATACTAAGTTAAATAGAAAAGACAAACCAGGTAAAAAGCACTCAAAATAAAATATCTATATTAATATTAGAGAATATATTTTAGTGTCAAATTAAGAAGAAACTATAATGTACGGTGTTCTAAGGCAGGGAAATCTTGGGGATGTAAGAACGGAAAGTAACCTTCCTCCTGAAGTCCAGCCAAAGCCTCTCACCAGCAGAGAAGCAAACGTCCGAAGCAAACGTCCGAAGCAAACGTCTCTCCCCTGGCACCAATCTTGAGAGTAACCAAATGGTATACAGGGCTAATGATAAGACAACTGTGCCTCTCCCTCATGCACACCTAAGGATGTCTTATTCTGGCATTCTGAGACACACTCAGGCTGCTTTCTTCTGAGAGCTTCTCATTCTCTTAACCCTATGCATAAGCCTACATTAAAGATATCTTAAAATTTCCAGCACTACTTTATTCCATTTGCTAGTCCTACAATGTTTCCAGTATTAGAACTACCAATCCTGGTCTGGCCCAAGCTGATGCCCCTGAAGCCTAGAGGAATTAATTCTTCAGGAGCTGAGGGGGGCAGTGTGGACCCGTGTCTCTGTCTACTCAGAGTCGGAGCTTCTGCTCTGCCACTTTTAGTGTCATAGCTTTCAAATAAGCCCCAAGACACAAGAGTCAAATGAGGGTCCATTAAGGACAAAAGAACAACGTTCATTAAGTGGTGGCTGTGAGGGAGAAGAAAACACAGGACGAGACCATGTGGCGGTGTGCAGCACTAACCAGTCCCTCCCTAGTTCAAAACCATGTCTATAAGGCATCTAACTGGGTGCTAGCATGGGGATGCCACCCCACACCTGCTGCTTAGAATTTTGGTTATATTTATAGTGAGTTCCTACATAAACTTGGGCTTTACATTATTACCAAAGATTCCTCAACACTTTAACTTCAGGGACAGAGAAAAAAACTAGTAAAGGAAATCTAAAGTTCTCAAAAACAACATTAACAATACTTTTTAGAGTATCTAAAAAGATATATGGCATAAATAAAATTAGGTATGATTTGACATTAGAAATTATTTTGTGCTAACCTATGTTACAGCTCACAATTAGGGAAAACGCTGTATTACAGAATCTGCTTTTCAAATCTTGCTGGTAGAATGCCGATGGCCTTAAATGCTAACTATTATAGTTCATTTGGGTTGCTTCTCCCTGAGACTTTTCCAGGTTACCCTCTTGAAACATAAACTAAAGTTCAGAGATGCAGAGCAACAATGGACAGAAATGCCATATGGCCACCTGAGGCAGCAAAAGAATGCAAGCCAATGTAAACTCTAGGGGTGAACTGCCAGCAAGAGACATGGACCATAACTGGCCTTTGACCAGAATCTTATCTCTGTATTTATGAAATGGCATGGCGAGTGATTTTACAGACAAAAAACAAAAACAAAAAAACAAAACAAAACAAAACAAAAACACCACAAAAAAAACCAAAAAACAAAAAACCCAAATCTTAGGCTTTTATGTCTCATCAGGTAGACAGGAAAATAACTGCATTAAGTCAATAACTTGCATGTTTGGTGCTATGAGACACATCCTTTTAGAACCTTAGTTACTGCAGTCACAGAAGCACAAAACAGAGACGCAGTGCACTTTGGGTCATAGACTTTAAAGCAGAGATCTAAGTGTCAGTGTGGACTTAAGACAGGCACTTCCTTCCTCTAAGGCAGTCCCCAGTACTCAGAACAGTTACTGAAATGCTCTCCAACCTGTACAATTCCAGTCTGCAATTTGCATCACTACAGCGTTTTGTTTTGTGAGATAGCATCTCAATATATAGTACACATTAGCCTTGAACTCAAAAGGACATCAGGAGCTTTTATCCACTGACACCTGCCCCCATTTTCCCCCTACACAGAGATAACAGAATGCAAGACTGAACTGATTTCCCAGTACTATTTTCATTTCACATCTGGATAGTAAGAATGCTACAGTGAGGACAAAGAAGTATTACCAAAAGCTCTGTATAGAGGAAGGCTGTAATGCAGACCAGCATCTACTGTGTGTCTGTACTCCCATTCCATAGGAACCCCACATAGTGGGTGTTACAGTGCACAGGTGCATCAAGACTGCTGAAGGTCAGGACAATTAAGGAGCATGCTGGGCTCATACTGTGTCTAACTCTCTAGACAATGGTAACTGCATCACTATGGAATGGCAAATGTATACTGGATGGAATCCTAAAAGGGATGCGTAGATCTACTTTACAGTACATCATTTTAGTGAAACAGGAAGGTTCACCTAAATGTTTAAAAAGTAAATGTGTCTAGTTACCTGTCTACATTTACCATTATGATATTTATTATGGGTTAGTCTTACTCAATGATATGGTAGTTAAAGTTCATCATTATTGAAAAACTACTTAAATAATGAAATTACAGATAATGACAAACTACAACACTTAGTGTTCACCAGGATTACTTCAGCACAAATTACATGTAGGGTTTTTGTTGTTATTTTGTTTTGTTTGAGAGAGTTGGTCTCAAATTCATTATGTAGCACAATGATGATGTTGAATGCGATCCTCCTGATACTTCCACCTCCCAAGAGCTGGATTATAGGCATCCATCACCACGTCTAGTTCTCCACGTGCTGATGACAAAGTCCAGGACATTATACATACTAGGTAAGCACTCTGCCAACTTAGCTACCTCCCTACTCCTGTAATGCAAGACAGAATGGAAAAAGTTTAGAGTGTTCCACTGAATCAGACTTGCATTCAATCCTCTTCTTAACAGGGTGCTGAAAACATGAAGGAAGTGAGACTTAGGTTTGGTTTCTAATTCTCAGGTGACTCAACTGCAAAAAAAAGTATCCAGTACCTAGGGTTAAGATACAGGTAGAGTCTATTAAGTGTCTGCCTGGTACCAAAGCCAGTGCATAACAAATGGCAGTTATTATCAGTAGTGGTTCTCCAATTGCAAGAAAGTCCATCAGGTAAGTATGGTCTGCTTTAAAAAGTCCTTGAGGGGGACTGGAGATGTAGCTCACTTGGTAGTGTTTGCCTAGCACACAGAATGTCCTGGGTTTGGTCCCCAATACCACATAGACAGGAGGTAGTGGTTGACACCTGTAAGCTGAGCACTTGGGAGGTAGAGGCAGGAAGATAAGGAGGTCAAAGTCATCCTTCGCCACATGGTTTGAGGCCAGCCAGGGATATACTAGACCTCGTCTGAAAGTCTGGGGGCAGAAAAGGCTCCACCAAGACTGGGCATTTTTGGTACGGTCTGTCTCCAGCCAATGACTGCTAAGAACACACTGGTGGAAGAAAGTTGGGTTTACTATTGTGGGGATGAAGGTTCTCTATGGGGCACCACAGAGCATCTCTGTAAGAATGCTTTAGAAAGACACTTACAGAACTGAGACTCTGTGCTTGGTTGATTTGGGGAGGACAGAGTGTTCTCTCTCATTTGGCTGCTGCCAACAGGGGAAAATTCTACAGAGAAGCAGACAGACAGGAGAGAGCTGCATTTGGTAAAGCAGTTGTAGCCATTCTCTTTTGCAGGGAAGGGCAATGATTTCTGTGTTTGGGTGGCAGGGACCCTCCTACACTGAAGTGGATTTGCTCTGTCTTATCTTCCCAGGGTCTGAGCAATCTTTTTGATATAGCTAGTAAAGAGTTGCTTTTTTTCTTTCCCAAAGAGACTAGGAGGCTAGATACATTTTGAGTGCTTCCTAAGTTTCCCAAATTAACTACAAACCATGTACACAACAAGCTGTGAAGAAACGGTTTTGTACACATTTACATTGTTATATGTAATTAAAAAGTTTGCTTTGCTATTACTCTCAATAGAAAGGGAAGTACCGAAAACCCCCAAAGCCCTACATTTTAATTTATAGGTGAAAAGTAATTTCACTGAGATTACTTCTCAAGTCACAAGCCCAAGTACACACAACTGATCAGTTCACTTTTTTTCTGTGAGATGTAATGCTAAGCTTCATCATCAAACTATTCCTTTTCATGAAAATCGTACTACATGGGCGTGCTTTTTTGCCAGGCTCTTTACCGATTTCAGTGTCTAGAAACAAACCTCAAAATAAAACTAAAAGCAGAAGTCACCCCCACCCCCTACCCTGCCGCCTCCCCACCATGCACATCTGCCAATCACTTCATCAAATTTGGGAAGAAGCACACTGTCAAGTTATGGAAACCCATGCTGTGGACACGCTCCCTCCTACATAATGAATGCTGTTTTCATGAGGAGTTACATGGATTCAACCCAATGGTCGTGCAGACACTTTCCTGGGGAAATGCATTCATAGTATACTATGACTATTCTCTGTCACTCTTATCCCAAAGTGAGTCAATGTACTGTAAGGTTATAATACTTAGGTAATCTTTAAAGAGGATGAATTTAAAACACTGGTTATACCAACTATTTTAGAAACAAATCAAATGCTCTTTTCTCCTGTGTCTTCTGAAATGGTGTATGATAATTCATGCCAGTGACTGTCCCTCGGCCAGCCTGACTCGGTCCCTAGGTTTTACTACTTGAAGGCATCGTACATTAAAGGGTTAATAGCCACAGGTCTAAGCTAAGTGTGACCAGTGGAGAGATCAGCAAGGCGTGGTACTGGGAGTGTTCAGACCGAAGCTCTCACATTAGCAGCTACTCTGTGTTGTAGAGTAAGAGAACACTGGGTTAGGGTTCAAATAACTAGAATATTGATGGTAACAGTAAACACAGCTTAAAAGCTTGTGCCCATCAAGACAATGGACTCGAAGCAAATACCAGACGTTAAATAGGCTGACTAAAGCCTTTAAACACAAGTGAGGGAAATCAAAAGTTCTAGGGTATCATAAAAACCAATAAACTAGAAAAACACCACTACTGAATGAGTGAGAAAAGATTTAAATTTATTAATGACTCTAAAAAATTAATAACTTATATATCTGTACTATATTTTAAGATTACATAAATATATGTATGTATGCAGTATGAGTTGTCATAAAATATTACCAGATTTAAATAAAGTCAAAGATATTAATCACTTTATCAAGACTTTTTCTTTTCTTTTTGAGACACAGTTGCTCTTTGTAGTATTGACTGCCCTAGAACTCACTATGTAGACCAGGCTGGCCTCAAACTAACAGACATCCATCTGCTTCTGCTCTCAGGTACTGGGATTAAAGGTGTGTAACACAATGCCCAGCCTATCATATATCAAGATATTTTTAAGTTAAATAGAGAGCTAGAAACATTCTAACTTTTATTAGAAACTACAAAATAAACCATTAATTCTTGTAAAAATGAATAAAGCTTTCTATGATGAAAAGTATTAATGGATATTTCCTCAAAGTAAATTACATTGATACTTTACATGTATACATGAACCATGTAATACTTTTATCATTTCATATGAATACTATACTCACATGAAAACAAAACAACAAAATATCTCATACTTAGTCCTTACTCATTTTAGAAAACATGATAAAATGTATGCCAAGTGTATTAATTTGAGGAACAGAAAAAAAACTTAATTACTTAGTTACTTTTATATATCCGATTAATTAGAATTCTATAGTAGAGTCAATATGGCTTGAATGATAGCATTTTCTAGACTATTTACTAAGAAGCCATGATAAAGAGTTGGGGGAATTCAGAAGAACATTGAAAAAACAAACAATAAAATCTGTAATGACTAGAACAGAAGTTTTCTGGAGTTTAGCCATCTGCTTAGTAGTATTTTCAAAGGATATTTAAGAAAAATATGATGTCAGTGGATACATCAAATTAAAAGATGTTACCATTCTCCAGGTGGCCCCAGGAGTAGCATATTAGGGAAATATTTATTTCTCTCATCAGTAAAAAGTATTATTCACTTTAGAGGACAAAGATAAAGATGCATTATTAAGTTCTATAGCAGAGTACTTTCTCAAAACATATGAGAAACACATGGTGGCCTGCTGAACAACATGTTTTCTCACACAGTTCAAAGTGAATTAGGAACATCAGGGCTTCTAAGTTCACTGGCAATAAGCTTCTTGACCACATTTTCAGGTCAATTAATTTGCAGAGGATATTATGGTTCATTCTTGATCTCTGCTTATTATAGTTCTCTACAGACAAATAATTTGAATGTTAAGTCTTACCTGACCAGGTTCTGTCCCAGTAACAGTCAAGTCTTGGATGGATCTACGCCTTGGTTGCCCGTTGCCTTTAAACAAAACAACAAAAACAAAAAAGTAAAACTGCAATCTATTCACACAAGTGAGCAGGGTGTGACTGCTGCAGAGGAAGTGCAATCTGCTGCTCCTGGGATCTATGTAACATGTTCGCAGAAAAAAGAATGAGTAAATTTACTGTTAAAACAAACCTACCCAAAAACTGAGAAGGAAAGAGACAGAGAGAGAACTATAGTGTATTAACTCAAAATCTGCTGGCCCCCAACAGAGCATGTCCTAATACAATGACACTCCTACCACACAAACAGCAGCTGAACTGACTTCCACCATCTTCCGTCATGTGTTTAAATAGATGAATGCTTGGGGGCTGGGGCTGATGACGGCATCTATTTCAAGGGCCTTACGTTACAGTTTTCACAGCAAGGCAGCTAGCAGGTTGCAAGACACGTCTGGCTGTCGCTGGCAGCAACGCCGAAGAGGATGCTTAGGTTTAAATTATTGCCCAAGTCACAGTGAATCCCATTAGTCTTTGTCAGAATGCAGTAATTCATCAGTCATTAGTGAGTAACAGCTCAGTTTCCTCTTGGAGAGGAACAATGTTCATTCTATGCTCAAATAAATGCTTGTTGAGATGGATTATAATGAACAACCCGCTTTAGAAACATCTATATTAGCAACAATTTTTAACTCAATAAAAATGAATTCTACAAATAAGCCTTCAGCAGAACAGATGGACTTAAACAACAGCTTCACTCAGCACCTTTACTTGGGAGTAGGGTTGTTTATACAGTATCTTTGAACATGAGAGATCAGCTGTTAAAAAGGAAACACTAAAATACTACGAGAAACAGCTGGCATAATAGTTACAAGTCCTTTGAGCCCGAAAGCTGTACCATATAATTCTGCAACTAGCAGGCAGCACTCAGGACACATGCTCTAACAGCTCTGTTCTGATGAGCAGATAAATCATTTACATTTTTCACACTTCATGATCTCAGATATAAAAAATATCTAAAACCAATCAGTATCATTTAGCATCTTAATCCATGTGATCTCATTATTGTTTGACATATAAACTAAACGGACTTTGAATAGAATTAAGAATGTTTAATGAACTAATACAAGTAGTGAATATAAAACTCAAACGTATAGTCACTCTTGTAAGCATAGCTCGTAACTTTTCCCATTTTAGATTGTTTTAAAATTCTTTGCATACTCTGAATTCAAACTTACTTCAAGTTTCAACTTATTCTGAAATGTCCCAACTTTCCATTACAAAGTAAAACAACAAACCACATTTCTTAAATCAGACACTTTCGTGAATGCTTTTAACTATTTCTGTTTCCCCAAACAAAAAGGACACTACTATGACTAATGAGCAATTTTAGGCACATTTCATTCAACACCCTCATTCTAAAATTAGCACAGAGGAGACAGACTATAAAAGTGTCTGGAACTCTCTTTTCAGATCAGCAACATTTACGAATCTGAGGAACCCCAGCATTTGTGTCTACACCATGACATCGCCATCACAGTTTCACCAAATATGAGTTCAAGTTTAGCTGAGGGACAGAAAGAAAGGGGAAGAAAAACTTTAAGGAAATAGGGAAGAAGAGCTGACAGTTAACAAATGCCATCAAATGAGAATTTTCATGCTACAGCATGAGTGGAAGCAAGCAGTATTAGGCAATTCATTTTAATGAGCACAACCATGGCAAACCACCTGGCAAACAGCTCAGACAAAGCAAAAGAGGATTGCAATCAACAAATACTTGTTGCTCCAATATTAAGTTTAAAAGCCATAATTTAGAAATATGAATGTAAATAACTCAAGCTCCTAGTACTGCAAATGAAAATCACTGGGTGTGTTCTTAGAAAATTTGAATTCTCCATTTTTTGCACTGAATACTAATCTAGAAATGTACTCATTTAACACTTCAAATACATCTTACTGTGTATATGTGTGCGTATTACTCTTGCTACAGCAGGGGTGTGGAGGCTGGAAGACAACGTGTGAGAAGCAGTTCTCTCCTTCCTGCCTGTCAGTCCCGGAGATCACACTCAAACTGTCAGCTTTGGCAGCAAGTTCCCTTACTTGCTGATCCATCTCCATTTCCCACTTTTTAAAGTTATTTGAAATGAGCACACCTGCATTCCATACGCTCTAGTAGACAAAAAGGCAGAAAACCCGAGGGCAGTATGATATAAATAATAACCAGCAGTCTACACATGACAATCCAGCATTGACAGTATAAAAATCCTTGCCCTTCTGCCAGGCATGGTGGCACATGCCTTTAATCCCAGCACTTGGGAGCTAGAGGCAGGAGGATCTCGGAGTTCAAGGTCAGTTTGGTCTACATACGGAGTTTAGGACAGCCAGGACTGTGTAGAGAGACCTTGTCTTAAAAAAGAAAAAAAAAAATCCTGATCGTCTACAATTTGTAAGAGAAAAATGAGAGTTTTAAGAATGGTTTGTCTAAGATCTCACTGCAGCTCATGCTACACACTCTCCTCCAGGCTCCAAGGCAGAAAGGGAGACAAGAACATTAGAAAGATGCTGTCACTGCTCGGTTCTTCAAGTGTGTCACAGATACAATCTAAGTCCTCAAAAAGGCTGCTCTTTTAACTATAGTTGAGTTCCTAAGCAAGTGTTTAAGTCATTTCAGAACAAGTCCAGAGATTACTAAACTGAGGTCTCACACAGTCTACCCCTTTGCTTTCTCATATGGTCTAAATCAGTCCACAGCTTTCTCCACCAATGCCTTAAACTTTCAAAGTACAAACAGATTCTTCACGTAAAAGCAAACTATTATTGTGGAGACTTCTCTAGTCCAAATTGCTGAAAAATCAGAGATCTGTAAGCTCTAAATAAAAATTGTTCTCATGCATAAAGTAGAATTGAAAACATTGTATAACATATACGTAAGTATTAAATTACTGCTTAGTGGTAAACTGATGGTGTAATTTAAAAATGTGTGCTCATTAGATTGCCACAAATCTCTTACTCTTAGTAATTTCAATAAATTATGTCTCTTTTCTTAGGATACCAGATAGGCTTTTCAAGCAATTATTAATAACTGATGAGTTTTGCTTTGGAATTAGCTTTTTTAGATTAGAATTTGAAGTCCACCCCTCTTTTCTTTCTTTCTTTTTTAAATAAATTTTATTTCTTTTAGACAGAGTTTCACTATGTAGCCCCCCTGGCTGACTTTGAACTCTGAGAGATCCACAGGCCTTTATCTCCTGAGTGCTGGGACTAAAGACAAGGGCCAATATACTTAAATGTTACTTTAGTTTTTAGATTATAAAATGTGACCCTGGTAATATAAAATTTGGTGGAGATAGTTGCTGAATATTTACAGTAAAGTTAGATTAACTTCTCTATTAACCAAATTCCATAGGAATTGAACAGGAGTATTTTAACATAGTCCCCAATCAAAGGCTTACAATTGTTAATGAGACTACCTGCGATAGGTAGGGACTTTTCAACTGTAGAAAAGCTTAAATCTCCCATTATACTGTCTTATATTATATTACAAATGGGAAATGTGCAATACTTTGTATAATTCTAGTTGAAAAAGTATTTACAAACATTAGTGTCTACTAGTTCTTGAAGCAAGCACAGCAATGTCTGGTGTCTCTCAGGGCTGCCTCGGCCTCCAGGGCATGGCACTCTAAAGAGTCCTCCCACTGGTCACTATGCCTAGCAATACCTAAGCTGGAGGAGGGCGAGAAACCCAGTTACATGTCCGCCTGTTTCACCTTTCTCTTCATCATACTCTTGCTATAAAAGTAAATATACAGCACAGCCAATGTCTTATAAAAGTGAAAGTGAGTATTTATTTTTTTGACAGCTAATAGACCTAAATGTGGCTAGCAGATCTAAAACTTACAGACTTAAGGTTTGTTTCTAACTTCAAAAACAATACTATAAACAATAAATCAGATAATTCAAGGTCTTCAGGGAATTGTAAAAAATATTTTATATACATCAGTTAAGAAGGCTCAAAAATATTATTATGCAAAGAAATACCCAAGATGGAATACCATTTTTGGTGAAGGCATTCTATCCCTCTCCATACCAGGCCATATTATCACTGACTTAGAAACCACAAAGGTATAGTAAATCTGCACTGTTACGCCCTCAAATAGGAGTATTTTAAGGTATTGCATATCTAGAGTGGATCAGAGGCTATTCAAGTGCCTTAAAATGGAATCAAACATTATAATTAAGACAAATATTCTATAATACTTTCTAATTTAGCTTGTTTTCTCAAGATATGTATATATTATGACTGTATTATCAGTATTTATAAGGTGACTTTGTTAAGTCACATTTTGAGTATTTGTTTCATTTTATAGTAGCAATCAAGTTGGTATAAACCACAAGTAACCATAATAAACCAAATATATCATAAATTTTCGTATTAGAGAAAATGCAGAAGGTTGTTTCAATTATACCATTTGTTTATAGGTGTGTGTGTCTAAGTGTGATTTTTTTTCCCCAATGGATTTTGAAATGCATTATAATCATACCTGGTATCCCTGAGTGCTCCAGTCACTCATAAAATGACTTTAGGGCACACATGCTCTTCCCTGACTATTGATTTTAGAATTACAAAGCAAGAGCCACAAAAGACCAAGGACAGTACAAATAATCCTGAGCAAAGAGAACAATGCCGGAGGGATGCCCATTCTAGACCACAAGCTACATCGCAGAGCCACAGTAGTAAAAACAATATGGCATGGGCACAAAGGGAGACACACAGACCAATAGAACAAAACAAAAGACCCAAACATGAGGACATATAATTGCAGCCACGTAATATTTGACAAATATGCCCCAAACAGCTCTCTACTTGAGTATAAGACCTGCTCAACAAGAGGAACACCATGCTTGGTACTGGAAACATTGCCCACTACTCACAGCTAGTGAAGTCATGATCTTGGAGAAAATCCTACAACCACTACTTTGCTAAACCACTGAATCTCTAACTACATTTTAAATATTTGTCCTATGCCCACAGGTAAG